ACGATGCACCAAGCCCTGTCTGGACCCTGGTGTGGGAGACCCCGAACCTGGAGAGGGGCTGACATCTGGGCCTGGATCGGCAATCCCCCCACGATGCACCAAGCCCTGTCTGGACCCTGGTGTGGGAGGCCCCGACCCTGGAGATGGGCTGACTTCTGGGTCTGGAGTGGAGCCGCTGACCGGAGCTGAACTGGACCCCGGTGGAGCGGACTGCTCTGGCTCCGGAGTGGAGCCGCTGACCGGAGCTGAACTGGACCCCGGTGAAGCGGACTGCTCTGGCTCCGGAGTGGAGCCGCTGACCGGAGCTGGACTGGGCACCGGTGGAGCGGACTGCTCTGGCTCCGGAGTGGAGCAGCTAACCGTTGCTGGACCAGGCACTGGTGGAACAGGCCGGGCCGGACTGGGGACATGCACCACAGGTCTGGTGCGAGGAGCAGGAACGGGCCGGGCCGGACTGGGGACACGCACCACAGGTCTGGTGCGAGGAGCACTGCTTCCACCAGTGGTGCGTGTCGCCAGTCCGGACTAGGAACACGCACCGCTGGCCTGGTGCGGGGAGCAGGTACGGGGCGTACCGGGCTGGCGTCACGCACCACTGGTTGGTGCAACGAGCAGGGGCCGTGCCGGACTGTGGAGGCGCGATGGAGGTCTGGAGCTTAGAGCTGGCACAACCCGTCCTGGCTGGATGCCCACTTTCGCACGACACGTGCGGGGCGCTGGCACAGGACTCACTGGGCTGTGAATGCGCACTGGCGACACATACCACATACCTAGGTTCCTCTATGAACACACGCTCCTTCTGTTGCCTGACCAGCTCCTCTCTCCTTGCCTCCACAACTTCCTTCTCCCTTTGAGCCTACTGTAGCGCCTCCCTCTGAACGGATAACTCCTGCTCCCTCTGAGCTAACAGCCCCTGTAACGTGGTGGCCTCCTCACTCAGACTCTCGATCCGCAGGTCTTGGAGGACCTCTAAAATAGCGGCCTCCTCCTCTCTAGTCAGCCCTTTCACGGCCTCCTGCTGCCTCGTCGTCCACCCCGTGAGCCCCCCCCAAAAAAATTATTGGGGGCTGCTTCTCGGACTTCGTCTTTGGCCGGCACCGTTGATGTCGCCGTTGATCCTCTCCTACCCGGGCTTCCTCCTTCATTGCCTTACCGTAACGGACGGCCTCCTCCTCCTCTGTGATTTTCCTCCAACCGAGGAGGACATCTACCAACGTAGCCACCCGCTGTGTCCAGGGTGTTTGCTCCTCCTGGGCACGCTGCTTGGTCCTTGTTTGGTGGGATCTTCTGTCACGATCATTGAGAGACGGGTCAGACCAAGGTGCAGCGTGAAAAGCGTACATGTTTATATACTCAATAAACATACAACAAAAACAAACACCGTAACATGAAGTCCAAAAGGCTATACACATACCAGCCTAACAGGAACAAGATCCCACAATAAAGGTAGGCAACATGGCTACCTAAGTATGATCCCCAGTCAGAGACAACGAGCGACCGCTGTCTTTGATTGGGAATCACACCCGGCCAAACATAGACCAAACATCCTCACGCCCTGACTAAACCAACTAAAGACAACAGGCCTCTCAAGGCCAGGGCGTGACATCCAATCAAAGAAGAGAAAGAGAGCATGTTTGTATGCTGCTTTAATAACTCAATATATTTTTTTTTACATTGTTTGCAAACGGATACGTGACATGAATTAATGTCAAAATAACATGCAAAACAGGCAAACCCCCCCGACACCCCCCCACACCTGTTTTGGGGCTCAAAACAGGTCCCACTGCCTGTAAAAAATGGTCCTACATATTTACATTGATTTGAAATTAGAATAATTTTGTTTGAATTGTGCTAACTAGTTCTGTAAGTTATATAAATACACATCAGTTTTGATTTTGGGAATTTGTTAACATTTTCTCTACTTCCAGATAAATATTATATTGGTGCTTGTAAGCATTGGATCCTGTATTGCATTGGTGAGCC